AAAAAAATCCCAAATCCAGCAAAATAACTCATAATCCAGCAAAAATCCCTGAAATCCAGCCAAAAAATCTGAGATCCAGCAAAAAGAGCCCAAACACCAGAAAAAAAAATCGAAATCAAGTAAAAAACACCAAAAAATGATAAAAGAAAACCAACAAAAAAAAAAATCCAGCAATCCCCCAAAATTCCACCAAAAAATCTTAAAATCCAGCAAAAAATCCCAAATCCAGTATAATAACTGGAAATCCAACAAAAAAACCACATCCAGCAAAAAAAAGCTAAAATCCCAAAAAAAACCCTCCACAATTCAGCCAAAAGTCCCAAAATCCAGCAAAAATCCCCCAAATTCCAGCATGATGGAATGATGGATGAAGGATGAAGGATGATGGATGATGGATGGATGATGGATGGATGGATGGATGATGGATTGATGATGGATGGATGATGGATGGTTGATAGATGATGGATGATGGATGATGGATGGATGATGGATGATGGATGATGGATGATGGATGGATGGATGATGGATGATGGATGATGGATGGATGATGGCTGATGGATGGCTGATGGATGATGGATGATGGATGGATGATGGATGGATGGATGGATGATGGATGGATGGATGGATGATGGATGGATGATGGATGGATGGGTGATGGATGGATGATGGATGGATGGGTGATGGATGGATGATGGATGGATCGATGATGGATGATGGATGATGGATGGATGGATGATGGATGGATGGATGATGGATGGATGGATGATGGATGGATGGATGATGGATGGATGGATGATGGATGATGGATGGATGGACGGATGATGGATGGATGATGGATGATGGATGATGGATGATGGATGGATGGATGGATGATGGATGGATGGATGATGGATGATGGATGGATGATGGCTGATGGATGGCTGATGGCTGATGGATGATGGATGGATGATGGATGGATGGATGGATGATGGATGGATGATGGATGGATGATGGATGGATGATGGATGGATGGATGGATGGATGNGATGGATGGATGGATGATGGATGATGGATGATGGATGGATGGATGATGGATGGATGATGGATGATGGATGGATGATGGATGGATGGATGATGGATGGATGGATGATGGATGGATGATGGATGGATGATGGATGGAGGATGGATGATGGATGATGGATGGATTATGGATGAATGATGGATGATGGATGATGGATGGATGATGGGTGATGGATGATGGATGGATGGATGATGGATGGATGATGGATGGATGATGGATGGATGATGGTTGGGTGATGGATGATGGACGGACCAACAGTCTGTCCTGTTTGCTCCAGCAGTGTAAGAGAATGGGATTTACTTCCCAAATCCCAGTTTTCAGTCCCAGTCTGTCCCTCTGAAGGGGAGGAGCTGATGGGGTGAGAGGGATCCATCCTAGAATGGGCAGATCCAGGTGGGTGCAGGGATGCACCAGAAACCCGGGTGGTTTGGGGGATCCCTGATGTCTTTTTTCCCTCCTCCATATCCCGGTTTTCCACCCCAAAATCTGGTCAGGATGATCCCCTGAACCTGGGAATGGGGATTGGAGGATGGGAGCTGAAGTAAGGATCACATGAGATGATCCTAGGGGATCATCTAGTGTGGGATCTGGGATAGGGGTCACCTGGGATGTGTCCTGGGGGAATATTGAATGTGGGGTCTGGGATAAGAATGACCCAGGATGGGTCCTGGGGGATCATCCAGTGTGGGATCTGGAGTTGGGATTACCTGGGATGTGTCCTGGGGGATCATCCAGTGTGGGATCTGGAGTTGGGATTACCTGGGATAGGTCCTGGGGGGATCATCCGGTGTGGGATCTGGGACAGGGATCACCTGGGATGGTTCCCGGGGGATCATCCGGTGTGGGATCTGGAATAGGAACCACCTGGGATGATCCCAGGGAACCATCTAAGCCAGGCCCTGGGAGATCCTTTGTAATAAGACCTGAAGGATCAGATAAGGTGGGATCTGGGATGACACCCTGGGGAGCCCTTGGGAATGGGACTTGGAGGATCCTCCAAGGGTTTGGACCTGGAGAATCCCTTGGGATGGGACCTGGGAGGGGGGACACATGGAATGGTAGGTGAGGGATCACTTGGAATGACCTGGGATGGGATCCGGGGGTTCCTTTAGGATGGAACACAGGGATCCCCTACAATGGGACCCCTCCCTTGGGGTGGAGCTTGGGGATCCCTCAGGATGGAACCCAGGGGGGATCTCCTGGATCCAGCCTGTTCCAGCTGCTTCCATCTCCACCGCTTTTCCAGACATTTTCCTCCATCTTTCCCATTAAAAAAAAAACCAACCCAGGGCTCTGGCACCTCCCAGATTTAACCCCCCACCCCTT